CACAAATGGTCTCCCTCCTCAGCTAGACGCTAAGTGGCTGTGGGGAAACTAGCTGCTTTACTGGTGGGAGAGGTTTGGTAGTGAAGCTGAACCTGAGGCTGTGGAGGTTTTTCTTCTGGTTTTGATGACACAGCTGCACCTCAGTGACAGCACTTTGCTGCCACACTGTGGTCACACAACAGTAATGCAGTCAGGGGGCAGCACTCCTCACTGTGCCACTACATGGGAAACCTCTAAGCCAAATGAAGACTCATCATTCAGTCACTTCCTGTTTATTACCATGATTGGCGAGGTTTTACTTCAAAGTGATTTACCATGAATGTCCTGCACAGATAATGAACAGCAGTGTCTTCACTGCACTTCAGTGCAAGCAGTCAGTATATCTAACCACTACAATGATGTAACGGAGTTAAATCACTACTAAATTCACCTCAAGTGTTTGATGGGATAGTCTTCAATTTCTCCACAAGTGTACAAGGCAATGTTAGAAACACTGGACAAAATCAGAGCCCGTAGTCGGTCTCAGATTTAGAAATAACCACAAACAATCAAACCAGCTGAGTATATAAACCCAAAAATGAATGTGGGTGTACAACATTAGCCCATTGATTAGTGATCAGGTCAGATGTGCCTATGTATTTACAATGGAAATGCTTTGAATGAAAAACTAGATCAGCCAAAGATGCTGTTGCTATATACTCAAGACCATTTTTCCCCCCCCCACTGAGGATTTATTTGATTCTGGACTGGGGATAATATATGATTGTGTGGACACTACTGTGGTAAATGAACAAATGTATAAATAACTGAATCAAGAACCAATGAATGAATGCTTTTAGACAATGCCTTGAGACTGGAAGCTCGGGCTGAAACTGAACACTGTAGCTAAACAAAAGCAGCATTACACCATGAAACAGATAGTTTCAAGGCTTGAACACGACAAGGTGACGATAGACCAAAGACAGGTCATATTTGATCTGTTTTGACCCATTTGTACAGGGCATCCTTCCCACCTGTCCGGTATTAACCTCACCTCAAACCAGAACTCTAATACAGCCTCAAACCTCAGATTACATAAATCAGTCCTAAGAGACTCAAAATGGCACATCACAGCTAAATCTCCTTATCTTGGCATGTGAAAAGAGAAACAACTCAGACATTTGCTGCTGACTAGGGATGTCAGTGGCTGATTAACTGCTATTAACTTCTTAATCAAAGAATATTAACAGTGCAGAAGATGAGGACGTTAAAATGCACTACACTTTGCTAAGTGCTGCCTGAGATTTGGCTTTGTTACAAGTTTCACTTTTCTTATTTTTGCAAGGTGCAATCATTTTATTAGTCTGAAGAGGAATCAAATTTACTGATCAGATAAGATTACCCATCTCAGTTGATCACTGGTTTTATGTAAATGAGTACTTCAAGATTCAGATTTGAAAAAAAATCAATTACCATTAATTAAAAAAACATGTATCTGATATGTTAAGCCAACACCCACTTAGAAAAAAAATCCTCAATCCATTTAAGACGTTCAAAAGACTTGGACTGTGGCATAGTAATGTGACCCTTGCCTTGAGCCTAAAGGCTTGTGTACACTGAAAGCATTTCTGCTGAGTAACCGATACACTCCTATTTTAAATCAGTCCAGCCGTTTACACTGCCCACATATCACTCAGGGTTACACATGTAAAGGCTCCACTGAAATCCAATGAAAGCTCAGTAGTTACAACCAGACATCCACCAAAATAGAGAAATACATTAAGTAAACAATCCTACTGAACAGTTTTTAAAGAACTAAATTCATCACAAGACACTATATTTTTAAAGTTGAGGAACATTTAACAGCCAAAGGAGTCCTCAGCCTTCAGTGTGCATCTGTCTGAGCGCACTAAAGTGTGCTTGTTGGGTAGCCTGAAGCAGCGGGAGCGATTTCTGGCTCGTACATTAACTTCTTAAAGATCAAAGTTCTGTTCTGCTGCACACTGTGTGATAATATCAGACAAACAAATAAACATCAACTTTGCCCTAATTGGCAAAAAAAAAACAAAACAAAACAAAAAAAAAAAAAAAAAAAAAAAAAAAAAAAAAAAAAAAAGAAAAAAAAAAAACACATGGCCGTCTGCCAGCATTTGTGCAAGAGCCAAACTACGTTTTCATCCTCTAGCACACATCAGACTATTAGAAACAGTCCGAACAGAAAAGCCCTGAAATGACCAAGACAAACATTAGATATCATTTCTGTAACTAAGCAACTTTACTTGCTTAAGAGTGTTATGGCCACTTCCCAAAAAAAAAATTGGTGAGCAAAGGTGTCCAACTTTGTGATAGCTTATGTAAAAGCTTCAGTGTAAAATGTTCTATTTGTGGCATGTGCTTTTAATGTGTTGTATTTATGCAAAAGTTTACATTTGCTTTTCAGAGCTTCCTCTAAACATTCCTCACTGGAGTTCATCTTAAAACTAGACAGAAAAAAGTGCCCATCACAATAACCAAAAAAAGCCATTTCCAGCTCTGCAACTGAAAGATACTAGTGAGGTCAGTGAAATTAAAGTCCACCAGTATCTGTCACACTGTCATGTGAGATGTACATGAATCCTAGCATGTTTGTGCTACACAAACTAAACCTGCACAGACACGTACACATCCCTACAATGACTGGTCTCAACATGTTTACACACACACACACACACACGGTATTCACTCACATCCACCCAGGTAGACGCAGTTGCACAACTGCAGCACTTTAGTCACCTCTGATGCAATTGGGCAACTTACAATTACTGCACTGCAACTGTTTAGTTTATGTAAACAAGGCTTAATTTTGTCTTAGTCTTCTGGTTTTAGATTTACTGTAAAGCACTTTGAATTGCCTCTGGGTTTAAAATGAAATCTAAAGATCAAGCTTGCTTGGCCTAATGTACAGACACCAAATAAAAGCAGGCCCCTCCGAGTTCCAAAGGTGGAGTGAACAACAAAGAATGGAAAGTGAGTGTGCATTCATCCACACACCCTTCCTTCCACCTCAGTAGTCTCCTACTCAGCACTCCTCAATCATAAATCAAATACTACATCTAAAAATAGGACAAACCAAACCAGCTAGTTGCATCATGAATCCCTTGCAAAGTTTCTATTAAAATCATTTGAGCCAAAGCTCTTTGACGGCCATGTGGCAACTGGCAGAGTAATATAGTCCAACTTAATGCCCGCAAAACAAAGTGCTGGCTTTTTATGTTACAAGAAAGAAGCTTCTGAGATCAGCGGTGCCAGAGCCAATGTCCCAGTCAACAATACTTGCTCACACAGCAAGAACAAGGTAATCCAGGCTAACTGTGTAGGCCAAACAAATGTTTGTGACTGGACTAGAAGCATTGGCATAAGAACAATGAGCACTCATGAGTTGGATTCTCAAACTGTCTGGGAAACTCTGCAAAAACATTAACAGTACCTGGAGAGGAGCCTTTCTGAAAGACTAGTTTAAGTCTCTAAAGCTGTAACACTGACTGTGATTAACTGAACATAGCATTAACAAAGGCAAACTAGATGTAATACAATCTAACAAAGTACAGTTTGTGGTACATTGACAAGGTTGTTGGAGACAAACAAAACTGCTGCATTTTGTTCTTGACTATCACCGTTACTGAGCCCCTTTAACCAGCTGTTTCAACAAGATGCTCCGGACTCCCACTGCTACAGGCTACCCCTTCAAATTATTCTTCGAGGGCATACTGTGAGAAGCCATGAAATGAATATCTTTTGGTCCATCACAGATCATGAAGGCCATGGGCATTTCTGCAGACTTTTCAACTTAGAATTGCAGTTTATATATAGATTCTATTTTCAAGAAAAAAAAAAGCAATAAAGCTTAGCCACAGAATACCTGCTTTGGATTTCCTGTCTTGATAAGAGATTGCTCTCTTTACAACTACAGGTTTATAACCAGTGAGTCTATCAAACATTTGGGCTAAGTAGCTGAGGGGCCACTAAGTGGATTAAAGTTTCATAAATGACACTTCTAATCTTTACTAGACCTTATTTGACCTCGCTAAACCTTGAGGGAAGAAGCAGCTTCCAAAGGCCAAACATACATAGTGCAGGATATGGTTCTTCTTACCATTGCTAACTCAGAGACGAGACAGTCCAAGTAACTTCTAAACAGTGCTGATTTATTCAAAGGATCACAGGTAAAATTAACATTACACGCTCAAGTATCTTGCACCTCCAACCTGCACGCAGGCAGATGTAAGATGAAAGACCCTGAACCCACCAGGCCTATACATTATATCCCTTCGGTTGGGCTAGCCCCATACTAGACAGAAACGTCAACCGGGACGTCTCTGTTACCAGCTTTGCAGCTGGCCATAGCAGTAGTCAAAACATGAAGCAAATCAATGTGTGAGTCTGTTAGTTAAGTGGTGTGTAGCTAAAAACATTCTCACAGACTTCTAGTGACATGTCATGACATTAAACATAAGAACATATTATGGCTAAGGCTACAGTTATACACGTCATAATAATAATATTAAACACCCTGTCTGCTGACAGTCATCAACTTTTCTCTCTAGTTATCCTTGACCAGATGTACCCTGTAGAAACTCATAAGCATGACTAAGCATTTAACAGTCTAACTAGACATCCTATCTCCACTAATATTTCTAATACATAAAGTATCTATCCAATTTCTATCTGACTAAAAATACCTAATAGTTTACAGCTACAATATCACATAAGAGTACTCAGGGTGCATGTACTTCCGCCAAGCCATAACATTTGCTCACACAAATGGATCCCTCGTGAAAAATGATACAAAAGAACACAAAGCATTCTAAAATCCTTAATCCAGATCAGATCTGGACCATCTTTAAGTGTATAATAGGCAGTTATACCTGAACCTTTCAGGGTTCCATCTTCATTATAGGCCACCTTATGGCAGAAAGTGTGCTAAATGGGGATACAAATAATGATTTTGATAACTTTCAATGGAGATCTGAATTTTGTTTTTGCTCAATGCTAATGGGAATATTTGTGATTTTTTTTATGACCTTAACCTTTGACCTTTCTCAGCCAAAATCTAATCACCTCTAAGGTTGGTCTCTAACAATGTCTGTACCAAGTATGCTAATGATTCACCCAGCAGTTTGTCCATAATCCTGCTAACACAGAACCAAAAACAACCTCCTAGCCAGAGGTAATTAGTGCTAGAGGGCCAGTGAATCATCTCTAATCAAGTGCATTTCCAGTTGAAGTGGGACAGGGCACAGCACAGGGACGGTCAAGGGTAATAGAATATCAGCTGTGGAAGAAAGAAAGGTTTTGATATGATGGGTAGAGCAGAGCTGCATTGTTTAACTGGTCAGCGTTTTTATTTATGCTTACAAGCACTGCAGGATGGAACTAGTTAAGCTGTGCCAACTGAACGCCACATAAACACTTCAGCAAAGATGGGACACATTGTGTATACTGTAAATCTCATCCCCTTCAGAAGGTCATTTATAGAATCAAAGTACCTGAGACACTGCTCTTATTGTGCCACTGTCCTAGTTTATTTACTGCCCCTAGCAGACAGATTCTTTACTCCTACACTGTTCATCACAGCTATTACACAAAACATGTAGTATAGCACTTTGACATGATCCAGCATTTCCCAGGGGAAAAAAAAAATTGTATTTTGTCACTTCATTTTATGGAAACTGAAACAGGTCACAACTCCAGTGAGCTGACAAACCCTGAAGGATCAGAATTTGCAGAAGTAGCAATACATACTGAAATACACTAGTCAGACCATGCATTATCTAGTCTGGGCCACTGAAAAATGTTTCCATGACATGAAAGTTTTATTTTCTTTAGAAAGTAACGCAAATGTATGACCAACTAGTCACTTCTTCGTGTCAATTGTAACACCTCAGTTAGCCCCGTTTGTCCAACCTCTACTCCTGATCATCAAAGTGCACGTCTTTCTGAGAAGCTCATGGCCTTGTTTTAAATCTGATTGAGCAAAGGGGCACCAAATCCTCTGCATCAGACAGCTCTCAAAAGCTCACACAATAGCCAAACATTCACTTGTAAGCATGTGCACATGCACACACCTACTTTCTTTTATCTGCATATTTCTGATCACGCCCATGCTAAATGAGAGTCAGCGTTCTGCTTATGACTTGCGAAAATAAGTGCACAGCTCCCACAGGATCTCCTTCAGCTCTGGGATGGGACAGCTGTTTTGCATGTGCCACTGTTTGAGTAAAAGCTGAATGAACAAACTGTACAGTCAAGTGATTTCGTCACAACAGATACACATTCATGGGTTCAAAGGTGAAAGAGCAGAAACTAAACGCCTGCAGCACAAATAATCAGAGAATACACACACTCGGTTACAAGCTCCTCAGATGGGGAGCTTACGAGAACACTGGCATGGTATGGAATCAACAACTATCAGCAAGTAAAGAGATTTATTCACACCTTACCATGAGCTGAAGTGGAAATGTAGCCCCTACTGCCCACCTAATAACTGGTGAAGGAGCCCCACAGTAAAATGCTATAGTAAAGTTTACCTCACCATTAAATAAGTGTGAAATCAGTGAGTGGATAACTAGTAATAAAACCTGTTTTGCAACAACCTCAGAGCCCTGTTGCCCCACTTAGGTAACTAGTACTATGAGAAGTTCAACTTTTCCTGTTGACATTTAGCTTGAATTGGCAGTTAGCCGAGAGAGTACAGTGCATCTTGCAAAGTAAATAAGCCAACAGTATTTACTTTCTAAACAGGTTTTCAGTGGACAGTTTAGCTCAAGATGTAAATGCATTTCTGTAGCAGATGCGCAGCTCTGACAGATGGACTCGCTACATTTGTAACATCGGTCATCAAGGGGACACACGCAGAGACGCATACAAGTTTGGTTACACGTGTAGCCATGTCAAACACTGGAAGACGGGGAGGAGGACTCGTCTTCAGGTCAAATGCACCAAGTGACAGCCACGACCACACACAGGACTCATTCATAGTCATGCACACATGTTGCCCATCAGTACTCACATGCTGGCGCTGTGTCGTTATGATGTGAATCCGCTGTCAACCAACCGGACACCGAGTGTAAACAGTCGACTTTCACTGTGTGTTTGAGTGTGCGTTTGCTTCTTTGCTTGCTAATCTCACATACACACAGCCACGCCACGCAGCTGCTCAGAAAAGGAAGTGGAATTACAGGGGGTAATAGATACAGTCAATCACTCGCGCACACGCACAGGTACACGCAAACACACAGAGTGACTTCAGCACGGCCGAGCAGGCGCTCAAAGGGTCGACACACACGCTGTCACACACGTTCTCTTCTTCAATCCCTCATATGAAGTACAAGTGCTACGACTCTGAAGCTAGGTGCTAACTGTCTACTTCAGCTAATTCAGCTAGCAGCTGGCACCACTCGTCTCCGTCTGGCGGATGTAAGACACTGCTCCTGATACTGCGCCTGACTCCTCTCCGCTCTCCTTCCATAAGGCTTTCATCCTGCTTTTACATGACGCAACCGGACACGCCCCTTCTGCTCTCAGCCATTCACAGGAGAGGGGGTGACAGCACGCGGTACCATTTAAAGAGCTCGCGATCAAAACGCACTTTAAGAGTTGCCAGTTCTGTCCACTATTGAAAAATAACTACGTACATTTACTCACTGTACTGAAATATCGGCACTTGACTTGAGTATTTTCATTTCCTGCTGTTCAGTAAGTTTGGAATTCATTGCCGTTGTGATGGTAATATTTGGGCTTTGTTCATTTGTTTAAAGATTTATGAATGAAATGGCTAAGCCGTCTTATGGGAAAATTGTGAATAGTTTAGTTCATTAACAAAATAAGTGACAATCATTTATGCCTGTGTTAGGTAAAATCTTCAGGTGAAAAATGAAAAGTAGGCCTACAGGAAGTAACTGGACAAAAAGAAAAACTCATCTAGGATACAGCTGAAAAGGGCAGGATTAGATTACAGGCTCTTAAAACGGTTCTTTGTAGACCTGCCTTACTGACTAGACAATAAACCACACTATGCTTTTATCTGAAACTATGCAATAAGGACATGATTAATTCATTAACTCTTTATTCCAACTCTGATCCTAACCTGTAGGTGCTCAAAACACCCTAAAACATAATTGAACAAATTTTAGTGGTAATTAACAGTTAAGTTGAGAAGAAATGTGTAGGCTACAACAACCCCTGTCTCCTTGGTAGTAATCAAAACATTGTACTTGATATGTTTTGTGCAAGGAAGGACCCAAAACGCAAACACAGCATATAACTAATGATTAACAAAATGTCAGGGAGCCAAAAAAACTAAACTCGAATGACAAACTCAGAACGACAAACATGCAGAATCAAACAACCAAGGCAATGGGATGTCAGAGCCCAGCAACACAAAGCGAAGGCAGAGGAACCAACATGGTGTTGAGATCACAGCGGGAGCATAGGAGACGGGAACGAGGGAGGCATGGAGAACAGATGAGCCAGCAACCAGATTGTAGAAAGGGAGGAGGATATATACATAAGAGGGCAGAGGATAATGAGGGACAGGTGAATGCAATGAGTGTTAATTGCAGACTGGAGTAAAGCTGGGGCAGGTGAGGTGACACAGGACAGGAAACTAACCAAAATAAAAGCACTCAACAGGAAGCAAATCCACAAACTATAACACTTGAATACATTTGTATGTTAATATTTTCTGCTTGATGAAGACAGATGTCTGAAATTTGTAGAACTGATTGTGCACCTATCTACAGTATGTGATGTAAAGACTGAGGTTCAGTAACACACTCAGACGCAATCACACACGGAATCACAAAACACACGCAATTGTTTCTCAACTCTTGTTTGTTGTGTTATCGATTCCAGATAACAGAGACTCTGTCAATGACATTCCTCAGAGGACGCATTCAAACTCAGCCAGAATTATGGCAGGGATAAAAGTCATGTGAACAATGATGTAGTTAATCAGTTCAAGGAACAACATAGGAAGCTAACATAATCTTAGTTGCAGTAAGACTGGGATCAGTTCACCTATAATTTGTCTTTTCTTTAACCTGTTTTTCTGATTACTCTAGATTCTGAACTTAAGTCAAACTGCTCTCTCCTTCTCAGTTGCTTACACTCATCTCTCTGCCTCTCCTCGGGCAGGCTCTTACAGGTTATGATTAATACCATGCTTAATGGGTGGTGTTAGGTATTTTTAGTCAGATAGAAACTGGATAGATACTTTATGTATTAGAAATGTTTAGTGGAGATAGGATGTCTAGTTAAACTGTTAAATGCTTAGTCATGCTTATGAGTTTCTACAGGGTACATCTGGTCAAGGATAACTAGAGAGAAGAGTTGATGACTGTCAGCAAACAGGGTGTTTAATATTATTATTATGACGTGTATAACTGTAGCCTTAGTCATAATATGTTCTTATGTTTAGGTCATGACATGTTACTAGAAGTCTGTGAGAATGTTTTTAGTTACACACCACTTAATCAACAGACACACACATTCACACATTGATTTACTTCATGTCTTGACTACTGCTATGACCAGCTGCAAAGCTGTTAACAGAAACGTCTCGGTTGACGTTTCTGTGTAGTATGGTGCTAGCCCAACCGAGGGGATATAATGTATAGGCCTGGTGGGTTCAGGGTCTTTCTTCTTACATCTGCCTGCGTGCAGTTTGGAGGTGCAAGATGCCTGAACATGTAATGTTAATTTTACCTGTGATCCTTTGAATAAATCAGCACTGTTTTGAAGTTACTTGGACTGTCTCGTCTCTCAGAGTTAGCAAGGGTAATAAGAACCATATCCTGCAGTGTTTTCAATAAAAACATGCATGATCATGACTGTTTTTGTTTTATCAGCTTAGAACTATTGTGTTTGTTGATATTTGTAACTTTGGTGATGATCAGATCACATTTCATGACCTGTTTATGCAGAAAACCAGGAAACTGCAGAGTGCCATTACTTTTTCTTGCGACTTTTCTTGCTAGCATCAAAGTCACCTTTCACCCCCCAGGGGCTAGTAGAACTGTGTCTATGCTGATTTCCGGTGTGCTCATTTACTTTGCTCCCTGTTTCTAAATGAAAACATTAAAAGAAGGCATTATCCTAAAGTAAGACCCACTGATAAAATGTGACCCGGTATATAAAAAAGTCAGCTGAAAAGCTACTGCCAACACTTACCTTTTCCTTTCAGTGACTGCTAATATCAGTAAGACACTTTCAAAATACCAGCAGCAAATGGGAAAGTGAATAAAAATTTAAAGTCTGATAGTGATACTCTATTTTTACATAACAGAGCCACCACCCCTCCCCCCATGTTAGTGAGTTCGCCTCCAAATGAAATAGCTTACATTTGACAAAACAAGTTCTCACACCTTTTCTCATCAGGAAACAGAGAAATGAAGGAAATACATTTGCTTGGACAAACAATGGAAGAGGACTGAATCATTATGTCAGGTGTCACAGTCATTTCAAGTCACTTTGAACCACTTACTTTTCCATTTCCATGAGTAGTTTTTTTTGCTAATTTGCACTCTGAGCAGTCTTTACATAGTATTGCTTCTCACTAAGACATTGTGTTACCAGCCTCTTGTCTGTGTATTAATGTACTGCTATTGCTTTTGCTTAAAGTTTTCGGAAAGGAATGAGATCATCAACTGGGGAAGAATGTGCAGTAGTGGTGATAAGCTGTATGTGCATAAAAAAAAACTACAAACTCTGGATCACACATGCTGACCTGCTTCACCAATCTATGTGTTGTTACTCATTAATGTGCCTATTTAAATATTTAAACCAGCGACTACATATAAATTATATGAGGCTGTGCTTTCATCATAGTTTTTTCTGACTGACACCTCCAATGTCAGTATCATCTCTGATTATGACAGAAAAGGTGCTATAGTTTTATTAGTAAGGCATTTTTAGATGTGTTCTTGTGACTGAAATCTGTTTTACCACTCTGGTGCTAGAAAAAAAAAAGCAGCAAATGAGAGAAAGTGGGTTGAGCTCAGTCAGCGGACAAAGCGCTGCTCACTAAGAACAGGTGAATGCCCACTATTCAATAAGTTCTCTGTTTATTCTCTCCCTCTCCCTCTCTATCCATGTGCTTGTGCTCTCTCTCTCTGAAAAAGGCAGCATTGTTGCTGCCACAACTCCTTTTTTCTCTCTACTCAGAGGCAAATAAGAGCCAATACTCGAGTCATTAAGGTTTCAGTTAGTCCCCCGTACTTAAAACCAAGCTGTTTGATGAGATAACACACCAAAGTGCTTGTCAGCATGTGTCAGTTTCCATGCCTGTGGAATGTAAAAACAGTCTGTTTGTATAAAAGAATATGGACACAGGAGTGAGTAACGAGCACAGTTCTGACACTAAAGCACATTTAATCACATGAAACAGCTTACACCCTGTATTACTGGGGCAAGAGGTGCAGTGTTACAAAAGAAACTGAAAAACAGGCATCAGAGAAAAGAGGGTAGAGAAACTGTGCTGGACATGGTGGACATTTGTCAGAGTGAGCGAGTGTTTCACAGGGAGACACCATTTAAAGACCATTTTTTATCAGGGACTTAAAGACCTGCTTTGTTTTGTTTAAAGCCACTCTGCCTCATTTCTTTTCAGCCTAGAGGGCCTAGTGAGACTCAGAACAAACTGACACCATAAGCCACTCCTAACTACTCTTTGCCCCTCCCATCACGTCCTGGTGACCAGCGAAAATACATCATCCAGTCTGACGCTAGCATTAACTCACAATAATTTGTCAGTCTAATCAAACACTCTTATTACTGCTAATGTGACACAAAGCACGAACTTTAAGCAAACCGTCAACTACTCCCAAATTAAAATCCTATTCAGTATAAAGGTAAAATCATGCCTGTGTCAGGTTGTTAAAGGAACTAAAACATTAGCTTTATATGCAAACACATCACCACATCTGAACCAAATTTTAACACTCTCCTTCTCAAGAAGCCAAACCGATGTTACCCTGGCTTTTACTCTTTATTCATCACACTCACCCTCTGCAAAAGAGTTTGATCTCTTCAGTCTGGCAGCCACTGTTCAGACTTAGCTGTTGAGCCTATAGCTGGTTGTTTGAAATGATTAATTACTGTTCGAAAAACTCTTCTATAACCTTCGCTAGGTGGCAGCTGGGGCTAATTTATGGGCTGTACTTTGAAACTGTTTAGAACCGCTGGAATAACAATAGACCTGCGAAAAATGACCGATAATCAAGAAGTGGTTAGGACAGAGGAGAGGTACATCCTGTGCCACTTTTACTTATCAGACAATGTGTAAAATCTTAATTAATGCATCTTAACAAGGATACCCAGAAGGATAAAGATAAAGAGGATAGCACATTATATATATACATAAAAAACAGGCATACATAACATACACACACCCATACAAACATCGTTATCACTAGCAGCAGTAGCAGTAACACTCAAGAAGATATGGTGCTAAACAATACTCACCACCTTGAGAAATGCAGTTGAGCCACGAGACAGATAAGCATAAAGTGTACCTGACCTACTAAGTGCAGGTGAATTGTAAAAAAGCATGAGGGCAGAGAAGAGAGCACATATTAAAATACATTAAACGTTCACTTTCAATCAACCTCAGTCTGATTTTAACCAACCAGCACTTTCCCACAGATACTGTACACAAACACATTCAAAATTCTTTTGGGCAGTCGCACACACACACACACACACACACACACACAGTCACTGTAGTTAACCATCATCGGGACAATTCTGGGTGCACAGACAGCTGTGAGAGTGGAGATGGTCTACTAAGGTCAATATTAGCCCATTATGGTGTTATATTAAAAGCCTTTGACAAGCTGTGTGTGTGTGTGTGTGTGTGTGTCTTTTAGAACTTGCGTGATGAAATTTAAATGGGGAAGAGCTGGTCCTCACTTCTTCAAAAGACTGTGTAGGTAATAGTTTCAGATATTTTGGATAACATGCTTATTTTGCGTTCTTAGTGAAAGCTAGATGAGATGACTGATATACCATATCTCTCTGTTAACTATGAGTCTACAGCTAAAGACAGTTAGCTTAGCTTAGCACAAAGACTGAAAATGAGGAAAAACAAGAAACAAGATGGCAAACCCTGCCAATGAGCACCTTTAAAACTTACTAACCAACACATTTATCTCCTTTGTTTAATTTGAGTAAAGGAAACACATTTTACTGAAATCAGAAACATCAAAAACAACCATAAAGTTACAAATGGTATTCAAAACTCAGATGCATAAGAAACATTTAAATATGCAACACACTCAAGTACAAAATGTACAACAAAAAATAGTTTGATTTTTTTAAGCGTACAGTGGTGTGAAAAAGTGTTTGCCCCCTTACTGATATACAGTGGTGTGACAAAGTGTTTGCCCCCTTACTGATTTCTTATCTTTTTGCATGTTTGTCACACTGTAATGTTTCAGATCGTCAAACAAATTTATATATTAGTCAAAGATAACACAAGTAAACACATCATGCAGTTTTTAAATGAAGGTTTTTATTATTAAGGGAAAACAAAATCCAAAACTATATAGCCCTGTGTGAACAAGTGTTTGCCCCCCTGTCAAAACACTGGTTTATCGCACCTGAGTTCAATTTCTCTAGCCACACCCAGGCCTGATTACTGCCACACCTGTTCGCAATCAAGAAATCACTTAAATAGGACCTGCCTGACAAAGTGAAGTAGACCAAAAGATCCTCAAAAGCTAGACATCATGCCGAGATCCAAAGAAATTCAAAACCAAATGAGAAAGAGAATAATTGAGCTCTATCAGTTTGGAAAAGGTTATAAAGCCATTTCTAAAGCTTTGGGACTGCAGCGAACCACAGTGAGAGCCATTATCCACAAATGGCGAAAACATGGAACAGTGGAGAACCTTCCCAGGAGTGGCCGGCCGACCAAAATTACCCCAAGAGCGCAGCGACAACTCATCCAAGAGGTCACAAAAGACCCCACAACAACATCCAAAGAACTGCAGGCCTCACTTGCCTCAGTTAAGGTGAGTGTTCATGACTCCACCATAAGAAAGAGACTGGGCAAAAATGGTTTGCATGGCAGAGTTCCAAGACGAAAACCACTGCTGAGCAAAAAGAACATAAAGGCTCGTCTCAGTTTTGCCAGAAAACATCTTGATGATCCCCAAGACTTTTGGGATAATACTCTGTGGACAGACGAGACAAAAGTTGAACTTTTTGGAAGGTGTGTGTCCCATTATGTGTGGCGTAAAAGTAACACCGCATTTCAGAAAAAGAACATCATACAAACAGTAAAATATTGGTGGTGGTAGTGTGATGGTCTGGGGCTGTTTTGCTGCTTCAGGGCCTGGAAGACTTGCTGTGATAAATGGAACCCTGAATTCTGCTGTGTACCAAAATATCCTGAAGGAGAATGTCCGGCCATCCGTTTGTGACCTCAAGCTGAAGCGAACTTGGGTTCTGCAGCAGGACAATGATCCAAAGCACACCAGCAAGTCCACTTCTGAATGGCTGAAGAAAAACAAAATGAAGACTTTGGAGTGGCCTAGTCAAAGTCCTGACCTGAATCCAATTGAGATGCTGTGGCATGACCTTAAAAAGGCAGTTCATGCCCGAAAACCTTCCAATGTGGCTGACTTACAACAATTCTGCCAAGATGAGTGGGCCAAAATTCCTCCACAGCGCTGTGGCAGACTCATGGCAAGTTATCGAAAACGCTTGATTGCAGTTGTTGCTGCTAAGGGTGGCCCAACCAGTTATTCGGTTTAGGGGGCAAACACTTATTCACACAGGGCTTTGTAGTTTTGGATTTTGTTTTCCCTTAATAATAAAAACCTTCATTTAAAAACTGCATGATGTGTTTACTTGTGTTATCTTTGACTAATATATAAATTTGTTTGACGATCTGAAACATTACAGTGTGACAAACATGCAAAAAGATAAGAAATCAGTAAGGGGGCAAACACTTTTTCACACCACTGTATTTGAAAAAGTACATACTTTTCTATTATAAATGATTATGAATTTCAGTTTGATGTGTCAGACCTTGGTGGTAGTAATGAGTTTGGGAGGATTAACCACTACTGCCAACTGACTGGCTCTTTCCCCCCCACTATCCCAGCTCCCACATGCTCTTTGCCTTCTGTGTTGCAGTAGAAGGCAGCAGGGTCTGGGCCATGTTCAAATGTGCCCCATGATGGGTTGAAAGCTAAGACAGTGGTGGGCTCTCTTTGACTTGGCTCACCAGCATCAATATTGGTGATTACATGAGAGTTCAAAGCAGCAATGTTGCTGTATGTCACTGTGGTGCTGGGATCTAAGACACTGGCATTGCTAGGAGTGATGACGCTGCTACTGGTTGCAGAGACATTGTCTGCATTGTTGTTACTGCCTGATGTTCCAGTGAGGCCTGAGGAGGAAAAGGTCAGAGCTGGTGCCTGGGGGGAGAGCAGGTCACTGCCTGGAGTGGGTATGAAGTTGGTGGAGCGACTAAGGGCCAGACGCTGGGTGAGGAACTGCTGCTGCAGCTGCCTGTCAGCCCAATCCTCCTGAGGTTGGCGATGGATTTTCATGTGAGCGTTACGGGACTTGATTTTATAAAACATTCTATAGTGAGGAATAACAATGGAGAAGGAACAAAAATTAAATGAAATCGAAACATTCTATTTGTTTGCCCTGAGGCCAAACACAAGCGTATTTTGGCACTTCCTTTAGTATGACCGGTCCTACTCACTTGCCACACAGCTTACAAGGAAAGAAGCTGGCCAATGAGGGCACAGGAACCGCCTCCTGCAACCCAAACTGTCTGTCCGCCCGCTGACAGATAGGCGTTACCTAGGAAAAGCAGAACTAATTGTAAGCTAGCATGCGGTAATTGACTTGTTGAGCTGGATTCCACAATGAATAACAAACGCATTCCACAAAGCTACGGTAGTATTCCAAGTTATGTTCTTTTCCACACCAATCAGACTGTTCTGTTCTGTTCAGAGTTTCATCTGTTAGAGATCAGAATGTATGACAAAGTAGAGAGTGTTTCTTACACTTTTCTGTTGCTCCAGCTCTCTATCTCTGTTCTGCTCCTCCTTCAGTTTCTTCTGCTTGTCCAGGTAGTAAAATTCAACACACTGGCAGGTGGTCTTAGTCCTCACCTGCAACATACACACACAAACACAAGCAAACACTTATTGAATAAAAATCAACCTGACAGTGCAACTTCTTCCCTTCCATTGCAGGTACCATAGCAATGAGCACATTTCATAAAACATAATCAAGCTGACTCATTCACTTGCACCACTACACTGTAAAATGACACTTCCTGCCTTTCATTGGGTCACTGAATTTATGAGTGCAATTTTTGTGAATCAAGTTGCAGCATGTGTTCACTTTGTGCATAGTGTGTGGTTTTACTTTTGGTAGTTATGTAAGATTTAGTAACAGAAAACAATGAATGTGAAAACTATTGTTGCACTTTGAGAGTGCAGCCGCTCGTGGCGTACATTAATTGGCACTTTCCGGTGACTGTAAAGGAGATTAATGAGATGAAAGAGAAGGTATGAACACTGCAGTGATCAATAACCACTAAGTGATGTAGTAAAGGATCACCTGAATGAAAGCTTGACATTCCATTTTCTATTTCATGTGTTAGTTTGGCCATTAAAACTGGTATTTTTCTCTCAGTAAAGCCTTAGCATTGTTGTTAAAACAGACTGTATGTTTCTATAGAACAAAATCCACCAAATTATAATAGGTAGAACATTTACATGTCTTTACAGTACATGCCACTTTTAGGCTAGGGCACAGGCAGATTAGAAAAGGAATACATTGAGAGACAGAATGTAGCATAATATCAATCAGTGCATGAATATAAGTTATACCATTTTCTGTATGAGTGAAAAGTCTTTTCCGTAAGACTCCAGAGCCGTACTGAAGAGATTCTTTTCAGTGTCTGTCCAAAAATCACTACCTACAGAAAGAGAGAAGGGGAAAGACAGCATGAGAAACAATGAAAACAAATTCAAAAAAGGTTGTGCTGCAAACTATGACATGCTAATGAACCCACAGTAAAGTCCAGCAGCAACCTGTCAATAATGCAACTTGCATGTAGCATGTTCCTTTGCTTCTGTGTAAAATTCATAAAGTCTGTGGAGTGACTGAGTTGCTCAAGATAACAGTTTGTCTGTGGGAACACATACAATGTTGGACTCCATTCAGCAAGCTTCAGACAGGCAGGGAGGTGTGGGGGATTTGCTGTGAGGCCATGCAGTGATTAAGGGGGTGAATAGCTGGAGGGGAGTCCTGAGACATGCCAGAGATTTTAGGCATTTGTATGCTGGTAAGCAAGAGAGCCCAAAATCTTCAGCAGTACATGGATATGCCAACATGACTGGACACCACACATAGAATAATGTCTACCCTGTAGTTTACATGGTTGTTAGTTGTTTTAGATGCACCAAAACAACACAAAGAGAGTGAGAGAGTGAGAGAATGAGAGTGAGAGCATGGCATGCAATGAAAGTGGCAGGTCTGGGCTTTTACAAAGGCTACTATTGTCTGTACTGGGAATGGTTTCTCCTAAGCTGATTCAGTTGTTTATTGCAAAGAACCCTGAACTTCCTTCACTACAAAACATTTTAGTTCATTTTAGGTCTCTCCTTCTTTTCTGTCTCCTGGTTAAATCTGACAAACTTAGAAGCATCAAAAGCTACAGAAAAACCAGAATTAAAACTGTCTGACCTGAGTACAGATTTATTGGTCTTCAAAATTTCTTTTCATTTCAGGCGACCGATACATCAAATACAATTGGTGAGCAATGGTTCATTAACCAAACTATTCTTGTTGCATATGTAAATAAGGACAAATGTGGTTCTGACACAAATTCAGCAGTGACAATGCTCATGAGAGTTACATGGATGAGAGAGACTAATTTAACTCTGGAAAAGTACCCACACTCAAAAGGTCATCTAAACATCTGGGGAAATTTTAGAAAGGATCTTTTAACAGACATAGGATAGACAAAAGTTAGAGTGAGGTCAAAGGTTACCAGCGTAGTGGTAGTCTCCTGCTGGTGAAGGCTGTGAGAACAGCAGCATCTCCAGGGTGGCCTACACAGGAGAGAGTTAGATGAGACATGCAGTGGTTCTGAAGAGAATGAACTGGGTATGAGTGAGTGAGACAAAAGGAAAGAAAGAAAGAAACTGGAATAAATGAGAATGAGTGGATGAGTAATGATGCATGCAGGAAAGAACTGAAGAAGGGGTGAATGATGACAATGATAGGATGAATGTGTGGTATAAGAATAAATAACTAATAAGGGAAGACAGATTGTTAATAGTCCTCATGGCTGCTTACCATTGTGCTCCCGTGGCAATGGTGCAGACAGTGCAGAGCCAGCTCCGTGTTACTGCCCCCTCCTGGCAGGCAGCTAGAGCTACACACCATTAACAGCTTTTGTACTGTATGCACACACAGATAGACACAGACACATAAAATGGTTTTTAACTTTTTCACATTATAATTAATAATGCTAATCAATGTTTTCATGGTGTAATCATAATCTAAATGTAAGCGTTGGTTCCCCTCTGAGTTAAAGCCTCTCTCTCGTGTGTTGTTCAGATATTCTCTTAAAAAAGTTTCCCACATTCACTGATTGAATTGTTGAAGATCTGAGAATTCATTGATATGATTATGTGCAATCACTTTAAGTTGGTCTCAGCAAGAGGTTTTGGGTTTGAACACTGTAATGTGGCAGGCACTTACCTTGGTCTTGTATGTTCGTGTTCTCCTCAGGCTCATGCCATGGTTTCCAGAGCAACTGTTCCCTGGGAAATTCCTCCTCTGGTGACCACACCCTTGACCCCTCACCATCCACAAAGCATGGAGGAATCTCTGCCTGGAACTCATAACCCACATTGACATACCTGCAAAAAGGGACAGAGAAAAGAAAACAAATGAGAATGAATGCAAAACCAAACATAAAAAAGTACCTACAGCTTTAGTGGTGAGTTGTCTTTCTTCTTAAATCTTCCAAAGTTCATGTTACTTACGGTAATGCTCCACTCTCCTCTTCCTCTTCTCCATATACCGGTTCTTCCTCTCTGTGATGGATGAATGAGATGGAGGAGAACAGCCCCGTCCCCCTGCGGACTGGATTGAGGAGGGGGCGAGGAATGTAGTGACCCCTGCTGGACTGAAGGATACTGGGAAATGGTGTTCCAGTGTAGATAGGAGAGGACTGTTGCTGTAAGAACACAAGCAAAACACATTTTAGATTTTTATCCTTCTCTCTTTATTTAATTTATACACAGTTTTAAAAAATGCTAGAAAGAAAAATTTACTACATTTGCGTGTACAGGCATCTGAATCAGTGAACTCCTCAAAGATGTATTGCAAACCAAACTACCATTTTTTTCCAGAGTAAGCTGATAAAAATAATTTCATTTCTGTGCAACAAAAAGGGAAGTAGGTATTTAGCCTAGTTTGGAAGCAGAAGAAACAGACTGCTTAACTCCATCAAAGGTGAAAAAACAAGCCTTTCGCCGGATCCAGGTCTATTCGCACACTGTATCTATCCAACATGTCTAAAAATAAAAAGCCAGAATAAGAGTGTGGTTTTGGAAGCAGTAATGCAGTTAGAGCTAACGTAATTTCTTGAGAAACAACCATCTATGCATCCGCCCACTATGTCTGCATAGCTTCTCCAGCTGTAACAAGCTTTGCTCCTCCATACCCAGCCTGCCAAGCTTTGTGGATAGAATAGTGATGACAATGTGCTAACCTGGCCACATCATCATGAAGATGCAGCCTCTGAAATGTGGAGGTTGTTCACAAAGAGAAAAGAACAAGGTAGTCTGTCTACATTTTATATTTATTTTTAACTTGTAAATCCTGCACTTACACATTTCTTCAAGATGGTTTTAGGCTTCTTCCTAAAACAAAAAAATGATACATTCTGACTAATAAAGAAAAAGCTAAAAAGAGCCTATATCCTTACAAGCAGCTCTGTGAGCCTGTGTGCTTAGCAAAATGCTAAATGCTAACACACTCACAATGACAATGCTAGCACGATGTTTATCATGTTTACCAACTTAGTTTAGCATGTCAGCATTCTAACATTTGCTAAAAACAAAATAACAACTGAGGTTGATGGAAATATTAGATGTTCTGCAGGTAGTTCACATACTGTATCTTGCAAATATTTTAAAATATTAAACCAGCCATGGGAGAGATGCTAAATGTTTTAAATGTGAGCTTGCAACCTGGCAGCCAAAAGATTTTGACCTCTACTAGGCCTCTCAGTCCTCGAAAAAGGACAGGACTGCTATTGCTGCTCTCAGCAAGAGGAAACACACACACATTGTTTCATGTAATAAAAAAGTAAAAGTACCATACTGTACCTGCAGCTGTGATTGGTTCAGATTGGCTGGTCCATTCTTTACCTTCTGGGTCACCACATGAGGAGCTATCTTTTCTACTTCCTCAAAATGTTGGCTGGAAAGCTGAGATGGATGTGTAGAAAGCTGAAGGAAGGGATGAAGGGATGGCGCATTCGAGGGACAGAGGGCTCTGGCTGGGTGGAAGGATGAACAATGGGATGATGAAATGATGAATGACGATTCAGGAGGCTGAAGAATATCATGCAGGGCTGGAAAAACAACAACAGAGAAATGAAAGAATGAAAAAAGGAAAGCAGAAGACAAGTACAGTAGGAAGGTCATGTATTGCCACAACGGTGTCAATGCTACATAATGACCTGCAAGACTGTTTGATCTTCTAATATGTGGCAGACAAACAGACAGAACAACACACACCCACACACACACCCACACACACACACAAGAAGTAAAGTCAGAAACATCAGTGTTATCGGTGCAGACAGGAAAGCGTTACACCACAAGTTAACAGAATCTGTTTTCTACATTGAAGCTGGTTGTCATGTCTGAACATTTCATTTTTCACATGGTGTAAAACAGCTCAAAAGATGTTTCTCACAAATGGTTTTATATGTAAATGTGAAAAGTGAAAATGTAATTTGCCTACGAGAAATGGGAAATTTCACAAGTTCACCTACAAACGCCCACATGTCCCGTAAATTTGCATGTGGGTATTAACCTGTGGCTTTTTTCTTTTTTCAATTGTTCTTTCTCAAGCAGTTAGAGCAGATCCTGATGAGGTTTTAGCAATTTTATAAAGTTATTATACACATATAACACCTTACCTGTGGTGTTGCCATAGTCACCACCATGGGAAGATCTTAGGTTGCCCTCATTGCTGCTGGGGTCACCAGACAATTGTGAAAAGCAGTGTGACAGCAACGGAAGCTTCCATATCATCCCAGAGTTCTGGACAGACGGGATCGACTGAAGACGAGAAGTTAAAAACTGAAGCGTGCCAAGTGATTCTCCCCCTTGGGAAACTGAATGCCCAGTTCCTCCAAATGCACTAGGAGAGTCCATTTTGGAGGGTGAGTGGGAGGGAGGAGGTAGAGGTGTTGGTGGAGGACTAAGAACTGAAGGCATGAGGTGAGACGATGTGGGAGGAGAGGGGAAGGATAGAAAAGAGGGGTGAGAAGGTGAAGAGGACGAGGAGGGAGGCAGGTAGGAGTCTGAGTCAAAAGCACAGCTGTGCCTTGACTTGACCAATCTGTGGCTTTCTCCTCTCCCTACTCCAAATTCCCACATCTGTCCAGAGGAATCTCCACTGGGAAGCACAGGGAATCTTCTTTTTCGCTGGGAGAGAAAAGCCTCAGAGAAGGAGTCCAGTTTCTGAGTGTATGTCCCACCGCTGATACTGGGAGGTGACCTCTGTGGCAGGCACCCTGAGGCCAACGTGTAGGCGTCCGCTGCTCCTCTCCACCTGCCTTCTCCAGTGTGAACTGTAGGAGAGATATTGAGCCAGGGTCCCTCAACCTCTGCTGGTGGAAGCTGATCCTCACCCGAGCCACTGCTGGACCCATGATCTTCTTCTCTTCCTAAATAACTACCACTCACTCTTGAATCTGTCCTACAATAATCTACACTGCTCTCACTGAAGCTTCCTGCAGCACGTCTGTTGCAGGAAGCAGTTTGTTTAGTAAAGCGGCTAATGATTGCCTCTCTATTATGAACTATGTCACTTTTAGCTTCACAGCTAACCTGGGTATAACTATTATAGTTAGCCCTGAGTTTACGCCTGACTCCATCTTCACTGCCACAACTGGTGCTGTAAAAAACATCATTTGTGTTACTGTAACAGTCACTGTTACTATAAAAATCATCTGCAGCACTTTCACAACTTTCACCATCTTCCCAAACGTCTTCTTTTTTGCTACCACTGTACCAAGTGTCGGCAAAATGGCTGTCTAACCTGTTATTTCCGTCAGTATGGCCTCCCAAGCTAGCATCTCCCTCCAAACCACTACCACTTGTGTTTAAGTAGCCTGCGTCAAGCCTGCTACTCCCACTCCTTCCCCCAGAAGAGGTACCTGGGGTCGGGAAAGAGACTGTACATTCTTCCCCTCTACTTCCATACTGGTCCAAGGAGTTCAGGGCAGGCTGAGAGGAAGGGTATTCTGCTTCTGGGCTCTGAAGGCTGGGCAAGGTGATGTGAAAGGATGGGCGGTGGCAATGGTGGAGGAGGTTGGGGAAGGACTGTGTTGATGAATGGTCATCCATGATGGCTTGTTGGGTTTAGCTAGAGTTCCTAGAGGGCAACAACAGAGAGAGAGTGTGTGTACGTATGAATAAACACGAATAATCATGAGATAAATTAATATTTAAACAATACCTACTCAACATTTTGGACTATTGGTGTTACACCTAATTCTGTGACCCATATACAATACAGTTTATGCTATCACAGCTAACATTTTGACCATCTCTGTATCAATGGAGAACATTTTTATCTTTATAGTCATCAACATTTGAGCACAATGTCTGCTATGAGCTGCTATCAAAATAGCAGTGAGAAAACATTATAAAACACTTGCAGTTGTAATATAACTGATATTCCTAATTGGGTCACAGAATATGGAACAAGACCAGTTAAATGTGCCAAACTGAGTAGTCATTGCTCTGGAATAACATTTTCTAATTGTACATGACAAGGAATCAATCTCTCCATAATTGGCTTGTACAGAGTCCTGCAGGTATCAGAGGTACATTTTTTAAATATTTCATGCATATTACCATTTATATTTTGTACTTCGAATTAGTACTGTAATCCATTACACCAAATTAATGACGCAGCCTGCAGGTTTAAAGCCGTAACATCTAATTTAAATTTCAAGTCAAGCTCTACTTTTTAGCGTGCACATTCCCATGTAGCACTTATTCTACCACAGTCTTCCTCAACTGAGGTTGTTGGGTTTTATTTGGTTTTGCCCTCAAAAGCACATTACCAAATAGATTATCAAATGTGACTAAGGCAGTCTGATTAAAACTTAGTCTGAAGAAAAATGTGTATGTACGTATCATACAACATAACCTCGTGCTAAACTGATGCCGCCTGAGAAGCTAAGAAGCTACAGAAAAGGCCATTTCACTAGCAAATCCAGTGCTACTTTAAACAAAACGTGTGCATTTTCATAAGTATGTGACAAAACCAAGAGTTTTCTGATTTTATTGACAATATATTAGCCTTCACAAAAACAATATTATAGGAGTAAGGCGACCTGTTGGAAACTGACTTAAAGAGCAGACATGTTTGCATGTTGTTGCAGTAAATGCTTTAAGCCGTTGATGGTCTTTCTTTCTTTCGTCAAACTACATTCTGTTCTAAATAGGACGATGAGTGAATCAGAAAGAGAAAGAGCGAAGGAAGACAGTGAACACAAATAAACTGTATACATTTTGAGGTTGTCGGTTTTTTTTACCAGTCCTTGGTGCTTAATTTCCTTTTCACATATGTTTGTCCTCTGCTGTTCATGTTTTCGGGCTCTGGTTGGTCTTATGGTTTCCTTCATCGTTGTTTTTTGCTCTTTCATTCTCCACTGTCTCGAGTGTTTGTCTAATTAATTCCCCCTTCAGATTTTGAATCTTATACTCTTCCTCTCTCTCTGCTGCATATCTTGTGACAGAGCACAAACACACACACACACAGTCTGTCATACGTCACATATGCCTAAAGCAAAAAGGACACACACAAACACACACACTCACAAATACACACTTACTGAGTAAAACACATATGCGCACACACTTTCACACTAACACACACATACTTGCAGGTGTCAGAGGGGACCAGCGAGTAGTGATGTTGCCTCTCTGTCTTTTAGTCGTCGTGGTAACCACATCCTGAGGAAACAAACGCTGACGGATCTCCCTCCTTTCAGCTATCTTTATCTCTCTGCCCCCCCCCCCCCCCCCTTTTTCCTTTCCTCTCTTTGCCCACCCTTATTTCACTGTCTCTTTCTCACCAAGTGCCCGAGTTTGTTTTCTTTTGTCCTTTCTTCTTCTCTCTTTGGCTTGCTTTCTAGCTATCTGCTTTCTTCAGTCTCTGTGTCCTTTCATTCACTGTCTGCCTTTCTGTGAACATATCTGTCCTTTTGCAGTGTAGCACCTCCTTTTTGGGGAGTCTCCTCCTTTTTTGAGGTTCTTTTTTTATAGTTGCTTTAACTTTTAAGATATGTGAGTTGAGGTTGAGTTACTTAAATGTTTAAGGGTGAAAATATGTGAAACGTTCTAATCTGAGTTTGAATTTATTTATTTTATACCTTTAATTAAATACAAAGTACAAAGTCATGTGTATGGCTGAAAAAATGTCTATATGTGTCCTTCAGTACTCACTTGTGAACGTCCGCGTACATCAGTGCTTCTGTGAATGTGTATGCATACATGGTTGTGTGTATAGCACATTTTGTAAGTATGTGTGTGTATGGAGATGGTAGCATAGATGTTTACCAGATCAAAATTCTTCGGCTGAGTCAGCTGACAGGAAATGAGAGAGAACGAAACAGGAAGGAAGACAGCAACAAATGATGAGGTTCAGGGAACCCTCTAAACACCCTGCAGCCCCACCTACTAACGCACCCACTCACCTACCACACACACGTCGTATACACCTTTAGCGTACTAAATTGTTGTTTTCTACCTTTTTTTTGTAATATAATCTTAAAACACCCACTCGCACATGTACAGCGACCTCAAACACAACTGCTGACAGGCCCTCAAGCCTGCAAACAACTTCAGTAACCAGTGCCACACACACCCACAGACCTGTTAATACACACAAAACAGTTTAAATAGCACCCTGCCATGTGAAAAACACTTTGACAAAAAATACTCCATTAAAAGTCTAAAATGCAGTTTTGAAGCCTGAGTGGTAAAAATAAAAAAGTATTAAACTCATCTTGAAAAGTAATAAAATGGCATCATTCTCAAGTTATGTGTGATCCAGGTCACATCACTTCACATGCATGTGTTTGTTTGTTATCTGCAGGGTTACCTGAAACGTCATATCAAATTTAACTGTAGTAAGGACAACGGTAAAAATACAAAATGTCCCTCAGAGCAGTGAAGTAGACATTCAGCCTTGCTGTGACCTAAAACTATATATACTTCATTATGTACTATATTCAGTGTCATTATATTAAACTAAATGCAAGGTATGTATGTTAACTAGAAAATGTAGAAGGCAAATATGTGATGTGCCTCTGAGCTGAGGTAATGTGTTTTAAAGCTGTTATACATTATTACATTAGCATTCCTCTTCCCTGAGCTACAACATTATTGCTATTACATTATTACATTATGACATTATTTTGAGCCTGGTTGAGTTGTGGTCTGCGTCATCAAATGTGTAACAAGTGAGCTGCAGTTTGCAACACAAGATCATTTTCTTTTTGCTCATCATGACACTTTTCACTCCTTAAAACAAACACCATGCACACAACACATGCACGAATACACGGGAACCCGGAGGACAAATTTATGACTGATTTGAGTGTTGCTTCTTTGTGAAAAGTAATGCTGCTTTTGCAATCTGCGAGCCAGCAGTGCCCACAAATCGCTTTTGTGAAACAGGTCTACGATCTACAGATCGGTTTTGAATCTTGAATAGATGGTTCACAGATTCATAATAACAACCAGCAGTATGTACATAATCAGCTTCCTTGTTGAGACTGAGACTGGGCAACAAGAAAAGGAGCAAAAGTGTGTGTGTGTGTGTGTGTGTGTGTGTGTGTGTGTGTGTGTGTTTAACTGAGATCATCGCTGTGTGTAGGAGATCATGTAAATGCGGAGGTCACTTGTACAGTGTGACTACATCTCAGAGCTGAAAACCTCAGCATTAATATGCATGACAGATAATAATGTGGTTAACTACCCATGGTGGAAAGTAACTAAATGTAATTGTACTGTACTTAAGTACAATTTTTAAGTAACTGTACTTTACTTGACTGTTTTCATTTTCTGCTACTTTATATTAGACTTCACTAGATTTTAGAGGCAAATATTGTACTTTTGACTCCACTATGTTAATCTGATAACTTTGGTTACTAGCTACTTTTCAGAATCAGATGAATAAAACTAAATACAGTCTAATCATGAGACTGTATTGATCCCTGGCAGGAAACTCACAAGATACCCAGCAGTAATTCAAATTTAAATTAGCTCCACCTTCACCAGCTGAAAAACTGTGATGTGTAAAGTAATGCATTAATAATTATCATCCTATGATATACAATAATGTTAAATATGCTAATGTGCAATACTTTTACTTTTGTTACTCTAAGTATAGTGTGATACCAACACTTTTGTACTTTGACTTACATACAATTTGAATGAAGGACTTTTACTTGTAACAGAGGTTTGTTTTTTTACATTTCTGTATTAGTACTTTTACTTTAGTAAAGGATCTGAGTACTTCTTCCACCATTGATAAGTACACAATCTGTCTTATCATTCAGCCAACCCTGGCAATATTTTACTGATATCTTACATCATGTTGTTTGAGGTCAATTAAGAGTGATATACAAACACCACAAGAATATTTCACGCAGCTACTTTAAATCTGAAGGCTCCACGGTCAGTGCAAATATATCCGCTACAAGGTAACCTTTGACAGCATTAACGCAGAACATATTATCTGAGCAATTTTTACTTCAGGTTGTGTAGCACTCAAGAACCCAGAAGACTGATTCCATATTTTCCGTTTTTATACTTGCAATCAGTGTACGCGGCAGGGGGTGTGATTCTGTTGCTCCAGAGTTTACCAAAATCAGTCAGAGTCACAAAAAATGTACACTGAAAGAGAATTAAACCACATATTTCTGAGACCCTTCTCTTGGCGTTCTTCACGCTCACCCATCCTGACGAGTACTTTGTTGAATTTAAACCGTCAACTTAAAAATCATCTCAGGACTCTATTATTTCTAATTACAATTTAGTCCTTTTAGGATAAAACAATGTCCTTTCAGGATACCAATAAAGTTCTGGGGAAAAAAGAGTTCATAAAAAGTGATGCAACATAATTAAATGAAAAAGAGTTTAGATTTCAAAAGCCTAAACTGAAAGCAGCTTGTATTAAAGAGGCTTCTTCCACAGCCATATTAGCCATTCTGATAGTCACACATTGGCATACATTCATGTTTGTACGCACACAAAACCTTCAGAACCTGAAAAACAGCCGAAAGAAAAATATGTGAATGAAAGCATATGAGACGATGATGGGGGAGTGCGGAGGAGTGCGCGTGGGCTGCATGCATGTCTAGTTTTTGCTGAAATTCTCCATAAAAACTTGCGGGAGCAGAGGAGGGGGAAAGAGACGAGCAAGTTTGGGCTTTACCTCTCAACGTTTTTTTCTGTAAACCAACTGTTCGTGTGTCTTCCGTCACTGAGAAAAGAAGTGATGACTTGCCAGAGCAGAGGAACTCAACAAACCAGAGAGGAATTATCCCACGAAATCGCATGAAACATTATGTATCATAACACAAAAAACTGGCTATTTCACTAAAGTTAGGCTTTTTAGAAAGCCAGCAGATAAGAAGTTAGTTGAATAGGCTCACTCCCCCTCGATAATCTTGTTATAAGTAAAAAGAATGACAGTGTATTTCAAATACTGAACACACAGAAGCAAAACTGCTACCAAATTGTTCATCGCATGAGAAATCAGTGAAAGATATCATTTTTCTAAAAGGTAGGCTTTTCCTTTAATTCTGTATTATATAAACTGTTTGAGCCAAAGGCAACTCTGGCTCAATACATTTATAGATTTACTCAAAACACTGAATTTCTCATCCATCAGTCGGTAACATTCTATAAAATAAAAGCTAAACAAATAAAAGGACAACATTTTCCATCTAAATTCTGATTTCTGTGTCCGATCTGTGCTTTTTGGCTGTAGCTTGGACAATAAGATTAGCATTTAGTATGTATACACATGCAACAAAACACAGCAGCGTTCGCTTTGGTGTTGCTCCGTATGCAGAACGCGTTGCAGGGAAGTGAAGCGTTACATTATAACTAAAAAATGTTAAGGCTGCAAATATAGCATATGTTCTTTTCAGTGTAACTGGTGCTCGCTCTGTGCTTTTAGAAAAAATAAAAGCAGCCCGGGTATGTCATCTCTTCACTTATCAAAGTCACAGGACTTTTTGCCTCTAAAACGATCACAGCACGAAAGTGTTCAGAGGCCCTGTCATACTAACTTCTAAAGACTTCTTTCATATAGCTTTTGTGACTTCAGTCTGCGCCACAGGATGACTTTTGACAGCTCATCACTTAATATTATTTCTAAAAGTGCTGAAAAACAGTCAACTCCTGGAGTTGATCTCTGATTAAGGGGCATTCTGAACTCGGTTTGGGTAAAGTTATCTATTTTACATAGTGGTTAGGTTGGAAGCAGTAATCAGTCGAGAGCTCTGACCAACCAAAACTGTCCAAGACTGTCTAAAACTAACCATGTAGTCTCACAGGCCCTTAAAGTCAGTTTATAAGAACTAAGAAGCTTCTCAAGTTTGGTTCATGAGAGACAAAAAG